CAGTTTTGTTTTTTTTTGGGGGGGGGTTACATTTTATAGAAGCCATTTAAAGGCTATAAATTATACTTATCTACGTACCTTTCATATACAGGGTGGGGTAAAAGTGGGCTTACATTGTTTGTATGGAAAATAATACAAGAATAAACTCTGTTTCACCTACTTGCAACTATAATCCTACTTTTGCCCCACCCTGTATATATGTGATTGAGGTGATGTAGTAAACAGCACTGGGGATGCATAGCCCAGAAATCAAGATACTTAAAACAGAAAGAAATCTTGATTAACAAAAATTTGTAAAACGTTATTAGTACTACTTTGACAGCTGTTGAGAATTTTGAAATTTAGAACAATATGATTTGGGATTTGGAAACAGTGTTTCAGCAAGAGTGAATCTATGTATTACTGAACGCTTTTTTTATTTTTGGTTTTCTAGATCTAATTACTTGTTTAGACACTGCATCCAGCTTTTTGGAACCTGAGTTCAGGTATGACCATATTTGTGCCCCTTTTTCCCCCTTAAATTTACCTTTATCAACTTCATCCTCATTCTTTATACACTTAAGATTAATGTACATTGTGACATAGACATTGTTCTAAGATCTCACTCAATAAACCAGAGTTTATTTAAAGCCATTGAGTTACCATGTTTAAGTTTTTCATTAATTGTAGCATTTCGATCCTCTCCACAATGAAAATGTAATTGTAATATACTTTCAAAGTAAAACTAGTTGCTCTTCAAAATCTGGCAAAACTGCTAAGTAGAAGAGTTATCTATATATATAAAAGCCTCAGTGACTGTTATGTCCGAACGACCGGTCAACCAGTTGCTATGGAACGCACTGACCACCAGGGGGCAGAGGCTCAACCTAGGTGCTGCTCCCTGGTGGTCAGTGCGTTTCCACAGCCAGCCTTCCACGGCCAGCCAACTTCCCCAGTCCCTCCCCCAACTGGCAAACCTTCTGTGGTCCCACCCATGCACAAATTCGTGCACCAGGCCTCTAGTCCTATATAATAAAAGGGTAATATGCAAATTGACCCTGAAGGTGGAATGACTGGTCGCTATGACGCGCACTGACCACAAGGGGACAAATGCTCAATGCAGGAGCTTCCCCCTGGTGTTCAGTGTGCTTCCACAGGAGGAGCGCCACTCAGCCAGAAGCTGGCTCTTGGCTGGCCAGCACAGTGGCAGTGGCAGGAGCCTCTCCTGCCTCTGCAGCAGCACTAAGACATTAGTCAGACATTGCTCGAGGACTCCCGGGCTGCCAGAGGTATGTCTGACTGACGGCTTAGGCCCAGTCTCCCAGGGAGTGGGCCTAAGCCATCAGTCAGATATCCCCTAAGGGGTCCTGAACTGTGAGAGGGTGCAGGCTGGGCTGACACCCCCCCCGCCCCCCCCATCCCCCCCGCAAAGGACCGGGCCTTTAGTCTTCTATAAAAGGACAAGAAAATGGTTTAGGCTACTATGGAATTTCAGTGTTCTTACCCAAGTAGCATTTCTGCTACAATTTCCATGATTTATGCCCTCATCCCATGCTTTGACTAGAACAGGGGTGGGCAAACTTTTTGACTCGAGGGCCACAATGGGTTCTTAAGCTGGACTGGAGGGCTGGAACAAAAGCATGGATGGAGTGTTTGTGTGAACTAATACAAATTCAAAGTAAACATCATTACATAAAAAGGTATGGTCTTTTTTTTTTTAGTTTTATTCATTTCAAATGGGCCGGATCCGGCCGGCAGGCTGTACTTTGCCCACGGCTGGACTAGAATGAACCTCTAATTGATTTTTTCTTTCATTTATAACCTTTGCTGGCCTTATGCTGCTATTGAGGTTGCTGCCAAGTTATTTTTTAAAGTACATATCTCATCATTCCCCAGCTTACAAATCTCCAGGTGCTCCTAATTAAGACAAAAGTTATCCAGATTCCTTAGCTTGGTGTTCAGGATCCTGGCCCAGGGTCTTGGCCATTTTTCTAATCTCGTCTCATATATTCATGTTGAAATAGCTGTGGATCGCTTACACTGCTCTGAACTCTCAGAACTTTGGCCTGGGATCCCTTTACTCCTCTCTACTTGGCAAAGTCATTCTCATCTTCTGAGACCATCTCACTAAACTCCCTGCAACTCACTGCCTCTTCACAAAGAACCTTTGCTTTGTCTTCAGAAATGTTTCTGTCTCTATGGGATGGGTCGCTCTTCAGCACTTGTGGGGGACCCTGGTCTGCAGAGTTAGCTCTGGCATCAGTGTATGGCACACAGCCTGGTAGAGGGTGTGCTGTCTTGTGCCCTCCACTCTCTAGCTTCATTGTCACTGCCCAAATGCGAGCTGCCATCCTCTCTCGCCTGGACTACTGCACTGTCTGCCTAACTGTTCCAGCGTCCACTCATGGTTCCTTCCTAGTGGCCACAGTACTCTCTTAAAAATATGAACCAGATTGTGTACAGATACTGTCAAAAGCCTTTACTAACGTTCTGTTTTTACTTAGAATTGTATTCCAGACTCCTCACCATAGCCCACAAGGCCTCTGCATGATCTGGCCCCTGCCCCCACTTTAGCCTCCTCTCACACTAACTCCCTTGCTGACTGCAGATCACCTGCACTGGTCATCCTCAGTTCCCCGCACACAGTTCCCTGCCTCAAGGGCATGCAGTGCCTTTTGATGGGGATGTGTTACACTTCTTCAGAGCCCATTCCCGATGCCCTGACCCAGGCAGTGCAGAGCCTGTTGTGAGCAGACCCTGGAGGTATCTGCCACTTACCAGCCGCATGACCCAACAGTTCCTCAGTGTCCTCATCTGTAAAATGAGGATGATAATAGTGCCTACCAAGTAGGGTTCTTACGTGGATTACTGGAAGCACTTAGAATACTGTCTAGCACATAGTAAGTCTATTCAAAATGTGTATTACTTTTATTAAGTTAGATTCCTCCCAATTACTTCATAGAGTTCCTTTTCTTCATAGCCGAATCATAATCTAATTAACTATCTGTGTGTCAGTTTAATGTCTTCTCCACCACTGGAAGGTAAACGCATTGAGGACAGGAGCCATGTTTGTTTGGTTGACATTTGTAAAACCCTGTGTGTCAGCACAGCACAGCACTTAGACATTCAAGTAAATGTGTTGAGTGCATAGATGGGTGGGTGAGTGCGTGAATGTATGAGTGAATGAAAGAATACAAAACATTTTTTTAGACCAACATAAATTTGATCAATAGGGGATGGGCAAAATAAATATGGTTTATCCACAAATAGAATATCATGTAGCTATTAAATATGGTGAATAGATTTTACAGTAGAAATATGTCTGTATTCATTATGAAATGAAATGATCAAAGCTGTTTGTAAATAAGAGACAATTGTAAATTTGTGGGTAAAGATGTATGTGGGCAGATCGGAGAAAGTCTGAAAGGGCTTTTTAGGAGTGCTGGTTCTCAGAGTGGTGAGATGATGATGATGATATTCACATTGAACTGAAAATGGATATGTGATGCTTTTGGTCTTTTCCCCCAAAAAACACAGTAGTATCTGCCCTTTAACTTGTTTTTATTTCATAGTAAGTACTGCCCAGCTGGTTGTCTGCTTCCTTTTGCTGAGATATCTGGAACAGTCCCTCATGGATATAGAGATGTAAGTTGCCTGTAGACTATGTTAAAGTTGTGATAGGACTTTATGTTTTTAAATTTCAGAATAGGTAAATGTGTACCTATTGTACATCTTTGTTGTGATGTTTTTCTAGGAATTGTTTGTTTTTGGAAATATGTAATGTTTTATTATTTTTCTTCTAAAAAATGTATGTTATGGCATCAGTAATCTGTCCCATGTTTATTGAGAAAACTGCCCAGATAAACTAATTTCTTGAGGAAGTGTAAGTCTTATTTATGAATTATCAAAAGAAAAGAAAAAAACTGACTTTTTCTTCCCCTTTTTCAAGTCCTCGCCATTGTGCATGGCTGGTGTGCATGCAGGAGTGGTGTCAAACACCCTCGGTGGCCAGATCAGTGTTGTAATTAGTAAAGGTATCCCGTACTATGAAAGTTCTTTGGCTAACAACGTCACGTCTGTGGTGTAAGTATACATGCTGTTTATAATAAGCAGGCTGGGCAGGGGCGGGATGGGGACTGGTAAGGCCTCACCAATGTAACAGTTAGTGGTGTTCAGGAAATACCATTTGTGCACTTAGCTCTTACATTTTTGTGTGCTCAGTGTCTGCATGTACTGAGGAGGACAGGCAAGGTTGTACTACTTGGCTTGTTCTCTGTCTAAAGGTAGTCATTTGCAAGCTTGATTGGTTTGTTTCTTCTTTTTTAAGTGTTGAAAAAGCGGAGAATAAGAGTCTAGAAGTATTTTGTTGAATCCATACTTGATATTAAAGACCAGAACACATAACTACTGTGTTCCTTATAGCCTGTGTGACTCAGGATGAACTGAGAATAATTGAAACACTTTGATGTGAATTAAATTTTGACATTAATCAGAAGTGGTAGTATTACGAATCTCCCTCTCATCCTCAGAGAATATATTCAGAATGTATTTTCATGGCTCCCATGATATTCCACTATTTTACAAAACTTAGACTAGGCATAAATAAGCAGAAGTTCAGACATTAGATAGAAATGCAGTACTCCTCATCTGTGTCTGTTAATCTTGCCTCTTGGGTATGCTCAGTCCTACATACAGTACTGAGTCTGTCTGAAACCAGCTTCTCTTCAGAGGCCCTGGGCCAGTTTCCATGCAGAAGACAGGAGTGGACCACACCCTCAGCTGTAGAAAGCAGGAGTCAGCAGATTTTTTTCTGTAAAGGAGCAGCTAGCAAATATTTTAGGCCTTTCTGGGGCACATGGCTCTGTCACTTTTCCCTTTTTTGTTTCATTTACAACCCTCTAACCATGTAAAAATGATGCTTTGCTCGCGGGCCACACAGAACAAGCCATGCCAGGGCTATATACCCATCACTAGTATGCAGTCAGCTTCCTTTCCTTCTTTTGGTTTCTTCTAGATGCTTTTATGAAGATTCTTTCTTTCCCATGGTCTGTCTTTGGACAGAGTTTTTTATGAATTCTCTTTTTCATCTATACTAATAAAAGGGTAATATGCTAATTAGACCACATTGACCAGAAATCTTCTGGACGTCCAACTTCCTTCCAGACAGTTAGGTGGCGACCAGGCCAGCAGGGGGGAAATTAGGGGGCAATCAGGCCATCAGGGGACCAGTTAGGCGGCAACCAGGCCAGCAGGGGGCATTTAGGGGGCAACCAGGCCAGCAGGGGACCAGTTAGGGGGCAACCAGGCCAGCAGGGGGCATTTAGGGGGTGAGAA